TTTTGCAATAAACAATGTTGTATATCATAAGTGTCATAATTTTGTTTATTATCAAACTTCGTTTTCCTTAAAACAAGTTATTAGAGCACACACTGATTTGCGACTAACTCCAGATTTGAATCTGCTAAGAGATAAACTACTATGTGAATATATATAAGGTATTAAAGGCCAAACACTATAATGAAACAAATACATGTTAACCATATGGTTACGGGTAAGTCCATTTGGCATAGCTCATATGGAGAATGCCAAACAGTTCAACAATATCTATGATAACTCTGAGTTTTTGTAATGTATCTTCATAAAAATTGGTAAGATTTTGTTAAAGATTAAAAGTATTTTGTACATCAAGAATAATATTATTTTTGTCAAGTATTTTTCAAAATAATTCATCATTTATTTATTGTAGTTATTTGCACTCAGACTCTGAATAGTCCAAATGCAAAGTGATTTTCATGTTAAGTATAAAAATATTTTTCCATCTTATGGTTTTCAAATTTCATTTGCACAGCCCCTAGAACCTCCTAAATGAATATCAGAAGATAAATGTTTATATTTTATTTGTTACTTTCTCTACCATATTACTAATTGTAACTATTATCATCAGCATATAGTACAATGAAACCTTTAAAAGTAAGATATAGGAAAAACGTACATACCTTTCCATTTGCCATCAAATAATCTTAAAAGATCTTTTTTTTGGTTATATTCTTAACATTTTTCACATAGAGTTTATTTTTAATGTTTTATTTTCCTTTCCTGTCCTATATCATTGATATTATTTATCATGGCACATGTCAATGGCCGTCCTCAGCCAATACTACGGTATTGTCAACAGAGATACATTAGCTTTACTACACTAACCCTCGTGAACTGAGGAAGAGTCGGGTTATATTAAAAAAATTATTATATCTTTCAAATATGCATCTTAAAACATAAATAACAAATAATTAACTAAAATATAAAACCAAAACCTAAATACAATTTAACTGTCTATCTACCTCATATTTCTAGGGGGAAAACAATGTTAAAGTGCTAGCAAGGACAAAAGCAGAAACAATTTTTATAGGGATTTGACTAGTTTTTCTGGAATTCTTTGCATCAATTTTGAAATAACTACTGGGAGATCATATTTAAAATGTGCTCTTCCTATTGGTTATAAACATCTAGCTCAACTAAGTATGATTGGCCAGTGTAATTAATTGACAAAAGATATTACTCATCATATACTCAAGTTCTTACTTATTGATATATAATCAGTAAATTAGAGTTAACATCAACTAGAATTATTATCATGTATTATTTAATCAAACTTACCTATAATTTACTAGTTACTGATTATGTATTTAATCATTACTTATTACGTATAATCTATTATAAATACTGAATATAGTCATGGAAATCTTTACCTCATCCACTTGTTTGCACTTCAAATACTGTGTAATTAGTTCAAACGATGTCAACTTCCCCACATTTAAAACTCCCAAAGGAAATTTAATAATTGTTAGTGGGCCCCTGAAAACAGAACAATACAGTAAATAAAACAATTTGTGTTATATAAGTCTTTTAAATAACAAATCAACCAATTCTAAGTTTAAGTAACTGGATTCTAGATCAAACCAGTCCATACATTTTTAAAGTATGCCATTTTAATTAAACTGGAACAATTCCAAGTTTAAGTAACTGGATTCTAGATCAAACCAGTCAATACATTTTTAAAGTACGCCATTTTAATTAAACTGGACCAATTCCAAGTTTAAGTAACTGGATTCTAGATCAAACCAGTCAATACATTTTTAAAATATTCCATTTTAATTAAACTGGACTCAATGCAGTGAACAGTAACTATTGATTGCATGCTAATTTTTAATAAAGCTATTATGTTTTATACAAATTGATGCTCCAAATGGCTCAAAAAATTTAATGTTTCAACTAAAGCTGTAGCTGTTGTGGCTCAGGTGGTCTAATGGACACTGGTAACAAGCAAAAGGTCATGATTGTTTCAATTACAGCTTTAAGTGTTGTAGCTCAGGTGGTCTAATAAGCAAAAGGCTATGTCTGTTCCAACCAAAGCTTTGGGTGTTAAGGCTCTGGTAGTCTTATGGAGATTGGTTACGAGCAAAAGGCCATGACTGTTCCAACTAAGGCTTCAGAAATAAAGAGCAAAAGGCCATGCCTTATTCAATTAAAGCTTCAGGTATTGTAGCACAAGTTGTCTAATGGATACTGGTAATGAGGGAAAGGTCATGTCTTATTCATCTAAACCTTTAGATGTTGTAGCTCAAGTGGTCTAATGGACACTAGTAATGAGCAACAGGTCATGTTTAAATAAAAGTCCATGTTTGTTTCAACTAAGGTTTTGGTGTTGTATTTCAGGTGGTGTAATGGACACTAACAATGACACTTGTAATATAACTCCTTTGTTATAAAGTAGTAAGACTATTTAAAAACTAGTTCACATAAGTATTTATTTACTATCTGTAAGGAAACATAACTTTATATATACATACACACACACACATATATGTGTGTGTGTACAAAAAACATTAATAACATACCTTTCAAATAATGCCACTACAGTACTGATGGCTGACTTGGTTTGTTTACTCAATTCTACTCCACCACAGGATTGCCATGCTATAAATGTTAAGTTACTCCTCTGCCTAAAATCATCATGTAATAAATATAAAAAAAAGGAAGTTAATGACACCACTTCTAACATTTTAGTAGTAAAAGCAACACTTGATTTATCAATTCCTAATTTATTATGTTCATCAGATAACTGAAAAGTAAAAATACTTACAAGATCTAACTAGTTTTTAGAAAAACCAAAATAACATAAGTTACCTGAAGAAATTTGACATTTCTAAGATTTTAGTTGATTCTGCCTCTTCTCCAACAAGCTCTAGTTTTATACAGCATAGAGCTGCATCAAAACACTGAAACAAAAAAATCAAACTATTAAAAGTTAAAATAATATCTGCTATATCAGGGTTTCTCAAAGTAGGGGTTGCCAACCAGGGCATAGGGTTGCATCAAAACACTGAAACAAAAATATCAAACTATTACAAGTTAAAATAATATCTGCTATATCAGGGTTTCTCAAATTCCATTCAAAATTTGTATGTGTAAAATATTTATTATTATTATAATAATACAAGTTATTTTCCAACACTTTCAAAAGCCCTACATTGTTATTCGGAATCAGCCTAAATTGTAACTGTAAGAAAAAGGTATTATAAACTCTCTTGGGGAGCACAAGCAACTTAGATTGAGTCAAAAGTGCAATAATGTAAAATTAAGCATTTTAATACATTTGTTATTAATAAAAATAATAAGTAATTACTACAATACATATAGTATTTTAATATGTATCTATGTATCATATCACGTCACTCAACTCACTTTTTCACTCATTTATAAAAAAAAGAAGGATGGCATGCAAGAAACCATATACATTAATGGGGAGGTATGGGTGAAAAAAGTTTGGGAAATGCTGTGCTATACAATAATTCAAAATAAACTACTTGGTATCTTAAAGTGTTCAAAAAACATACTTTCTACTGTCGGTTAGTAAGTAAGTACGTAAATTGTCTGAATTTTAGACTGCAACAGCTCTGTTATGAGACTGATTTTCAAGTCTAGAGAATTAAGTATATTTTTCTTATTTAAAAAAACAGTTGGCGTATTTGTTTTAACTGACAACTTACATATTCTCAAATTTAGAACACAGTATGATTTAAATAGTTCTTTTGGAATCTATGCTTTTGAAAACTAACAAAAAGGTTTCTTTAGGTGTTAAAACAATAACTTTTATTTTTCTTACTTTGAACATCCTTAAGACAAAATTCATGCATTTGATATTAGAGTATCAATCTTCTATTTTTAAAAAGTTTTTAATTGAATGAAAAATTAGCCAAATAATCATTTTAATTAATATAGTATGCTGATATACAGCCTAATCTCATTGAGAAGAATTTTCGACAAATTCACATGGCTTAAAAACATTACTTTAACATGAAAATGTGTCCTTTAACCCCTTTAAACACTTTTCTGCAAAAGTCACTGTGATACATTCAAAATTTAATTAAACACCTTTATTATCAATGTATATCAATGAAATGAACATTATAATGTATGTTATGATTTGCAGTTTTATGTTATCTAAGTTTTAAGTATTTTATTCCAAAAGAAACCTTTAAAAAACTACTTAAAACTTTACATGTATTGTCACATGGCCCAAGAGCTATGAAAATTCTCTATTTTGGCAGTTGTGTAGATATGTCTAGACAATAAGATGCTTACTTATCCTATTGACAAGTAAATTTCAAAGTTCTCTGGATGAATGCAGTTGATACAAGGAATAAATTTTGTCAACCCCTGACTGGTGCCACGCCCACCTTCAATAGATTTGTTTGATTTATAGCTTACATGTAGAGGTTACATACACACACATATAGTCATTATAAAGAGCTCATTTGACACTATAATCCAACAACAGTTATTTTGAAACTGGTACGAAGTTTTCATCACGAAGTACATGTAAATGCCTGTAGTATTGTTGGCTGCTTGATTGATTATAGCACATACTGTTGTTTCTTACCTAAATATGTTATAGTTAGAGACAGGGCTGATGAGAGGGGAGGGCAAGAGGGGCAGCTGCTCCGGTGCCCTGGGTCTGTTGAGGGGTCCAGCAGTGGGATATTGCTTTAGTGTCTTACAATCAAAATTTTATTCAACTACTTTTTGTTTATGTTATACCAATTAGAATAGCATAAAATCTTAGCCAATAATCCATATTTTAATAATCTTAATTCTACAAGGCAATATTAAAAAAAATCCTGAATTTCCACTAATGTGACCCACGTGACACATTTTCTCTTAGCATGTCATCATCCCTATTTTATCCACCACCCCTCGAAAAAGTACAAAATTAAGCGTAACTTACTCTCTATAAAATCGTTATTGCTCAGACAAACCATAATTTTTATAGCCTTCAATTTTGTTTGGTTACAGAGCTATCAATTAGAAAATCAGACTCCTCCTGCCACATCCTCTCTTTCACAATTCGTTGATAGTTCTCTCTTACGTTTCATTATATATTACTTATAACCAACAGAAAGTCAAGGTTTTCATCTATCAAATGATGTATTGTATAACATTGTGCTCTCAACATAATATCATCAATTTCACTCACAGTACAAGATTCGTTACCGTGAGAAAGTTAACGACTAGCTTGGATGAATTTGTAACAGCTCTTGTCACATAGTTAAAAAGACAGAAAAATTTTGAGAGGTGAGGTAGCTTGTCTACTTTTTGTATGTCATTAATCTTTATTTTTGGTGCATTATTTAATTAAATAAAAATTATTAAGTGCATTACTATCATTACTATAAAAAATTAGGTTTAACTGTCCTCGACAACTGACAGCATGAAAAAAAAGATTGGGTAAATACTTTATTTCTTGTATTTCATGTTTATTGTTAATTTATTATTATAAAAGTAACTAAAATCTAAAAATATGGATCTTTTTAAGTTATTTATGACTGGATTAAGTAAAATAAGTAATAATATAGTTAAAATGGTTCATGAGGCACGCATGCAAGCAGCTTGTGGGTAATGTAACTTGATAGCATAACATGACCCGTACATTTTCTGAGTGATTTACAACTTATAATGGTGCAGACAGTAGTAAAACATGGTTCAAAGGGCAATAAAACAATAAAATTTAATTATAAATAGATGTATATTGTTACGAACTTAGAGCTACTTAGGGTAAACGAATGTTGTTTCATGTTACAATTTGAAGTCATTCTAGAAAGAAAAAAGGGTAATTTAGGTTTATTTAGATTTTTTTTTTGGTGGTTTACGAGGTCGGTCGAATTAACCAATACAATTTTGAGTAGGGTTGAGAAAATAACAGATAAACTATAAAGTTTTACCGAGAAAAACGTTTGAAATGCATTTAGGAGGTTTTAGGGATTATACAAAGGAAATTTGAGATTTTTGAGATGAGGAAAAGTATTTTTAATTTTAACATGAAAATT